AAGTTGCGCTATGAAAATGAACCTAAGCGATCTTTTTAATTTATATTTTCGATTTTTGCTGTCGTCCCTGTAAGCGAAAAGCGCTTATGCGTTTTCAGGAGAACTCCAACTGTGAAAAGCTACAGGAAAATGCGTGAAGAATATGCGAAAAATTCTGCCAGTAAATCAGCTAGTGCTGCTGCATGCGTTGATCGAAAACCACTGTTGCAGTTGTGCGATGCCTGGAAAAACTTCAGAGTAAGTGGGTTTCTTCACAACAGGTGGCATGAAATTTTCCACTCTGTGCTTACTAATCCCCGATTAGGCATCGATCGGAGCACTCCAGAAGCCAACAGTGGGTCAGACTTTTTCTACTTGTCCAGTGTAATTCACAGTGGCTTCTTTGGAGAGTCTGAGGGTTTGAAGGAACCAACAGCAAGCAATAGAATTCTATGAACGTGCATGCATCGAAGGTCATTACAAGGGATTACTTGGAGAAGAGCGGGATATTTGCATGGAGTTATAGGTGTAGGGTACAGAAATGGAAGAGAAACAGAATATTGAACAGGGAAAGACCCAGTGGTTAGGTAGTGCTAAAGTTAGGTTCCCACAATTTTCGGGTGCCCGAGAAGAGGGCCAATAAGCTTATATATATGCATATGGGATTTGCTTTTTCAGTTCGATACTTCGCAACTGCACTTTTTGTCGAAGGATACGGGAGCGATAAGCGATACAGAAAAGGGCAGTGGGGATAGGCAAGATGAAGGTACCAGCCCTGCATGTAAAGCAGAATCGACGGATTGAGGTCGCTTGACTCATTGTGCCGAGTGTCGTTTTTGCGACGCTTCATCCCCACGTCTGTGTTATTTGTTGTTTTTTGCGTGCTCATTTTTTATTATATATTTCTTCGCTGGTGCTGCTATGTGTTCCTGTTATGCACCCAATTCGTTGATCGTCTCAAATCTCTTTGTTCCGAATCACATCGGCATGATTTAGAAAGAAATCTGTAGCACATTTGAGGACTCGCGAGCTGAGGTCATGTAATTAAAATAACTGCCGCGCGAGGAAAGCAGCGACTTACAGCTCTCAGTTTATCTGTTTTCTGTCTAATTTATGCGTAAGGATATTAACAGTTTGGGACTGCAGTAGATGTTTGGCGTTTGGCTTGCTCCCCCATTTTTTCGCGTTCTGTGAGCTAAATCTGTGCGGCATTTGTAGAGGTTGTGGAGTGGACTTCGACATCACTTGGCGCATTTCCAAGGAGTTTGCTTGGCCTTGAAATTTGCTAACCCTAAGACATAACGTTTCACTTGTTCCTCATTTTTCATCTGTTTTTTAGCGCGCGATGACCCCTCTTTTTCCCCACACTTTCCAAATGTTGG